GAATGAATGAATGAATGAATGAATGAATGAATGAATGAATGAATGAAGTAGGAAAAGAATGAACGAATCAATCTATATAGCTGCCCAGCCATCCACAACTTTTTAATGGTGGGTTTGTGATAGATGGACAAGTGAGCGGATGAATAAATGAGTGAGTGAACGAATGAATGATTAAATTAATGAGCGTCGCGAATAAACGGTCGAATGAATGAACGAACGAATGAATGAATGAATGAATGAATGAATGAATGAATGAATGAATGAATGAACGAACGAATGAACGAACGAACGAACAAATGAACGAATGAATGAATGAATGAATGAATGATAAGATAGATGGAAAAACGAATGGAAAATTTTCCAAATGAAAATATATAAAAGGGTATGCTAGAAAGCACTTCTCACTTTTTTCCATCATTATCTTTTAAAAAAATAAACACACGTACATGTATACACACATGTGTGCGTGCTTGTGTGTGCGTGCGTGTGCGTGTGTGTGCGTGTGTGTGTGTGCGTGCGTGTGTTTAAACGTACGTGGTTCAACATGACGTTTGGAGAACTAGCCCTGTTATTATTTTCCTCTGAACATGTACCCTCGCCTCTTCCTTGACTTAAGATTAATTTTCCTCTGAACATTATGCAGTCAGTTCGTCATGCTGGTCATCCTACTGAATTGTATCTTCATGGCCAGTAACCAAGAGATTCCAGAGTCCGAGTAAGTTGTGATGATGATGATTGCTGGTTGTTATGATGGTGCTGATGATGATGATGATGTTGACAATGATGGTGATGATGGCGATGGTGATGATGGATAATGATGATAGTGATTGTTATGATGATGATGGCTGGTTGTTATGATAGGGCTGATGACGATGATGATGATGGTGGTGATGATAATGATGATGATGAATGATAATGATGATGATGAATGATAATGACGATGATGGTGATGATGATAATAATTGTGATGATGGTGATGATAGTAGTGATGACGATGATGGGG